AAAAGTGAGTGAGATGGATAAGATTAGAAATGAGTATGACGGAGGGACAGCCTGGGTTGAGTGGGGAAAGTGGATATATTAGACAAAGGATGCTAAAGGCTGCTCGGCAGGAGGAAAGAGGAAGACTAAGACTGTAGTGAAGGAGGACGTGTCCTGCTGTGACAGAAGAGGATGGTAGGGATAGGGTGAGATGGAGGGAGAGGATCTGCTTCCTTGTCTCATCCAAAAAATAAGCACAGAAACAATAATACATAAAGTAGGTAAAGTATCCATGAATAGGTGGATGTTCTTGAAAGCAACGAAAGAAAAATGATCATTTAATCTAAGAGGCGTTTCGAGTTTCCTTTACCAACAGATGTCGCTTCCTCTTCACAGACATGAGCAGCCATCTCTCTGCAACACCTCTCCACAGGCCAACAGGGCCCAGAGAGACACAATCCCAGCCCTGAGGGACAGCCAGACAAAGGCAATGATATCACTGAGACGTGGCACAAGGCACTTATTACCACAGATGGATAGATAGCGCTCTGGGTCTCCTGGGGAGTTCGGAGGACCACTTAGGGGGAAAGAAGGTTTGTTTTGTCTGCGTGTGCTTTTTGAGCAGTGGTCTCCGTCCTCTGTCTCGCCAGCTTTAATTGCCTGCCTGTTCAAGCAGGAGTTAAGCTGATTTGAAAGTGCCCGCTGAAAGCAGGAGCAGGGAGAAGCACTGGAGGAGAGGTGATGCAGAGCCTGTGGCCATACCGTGGACCTCATTCGCTAGATACTAGAAGCAGAGCAGCATCCTATTTGAATGCAAAATAAACAAACAAGAAATAATGCAACAACCGGTGTGTCCGGCCATCACTTTGAGTCTGTTTCAGTTCAATTCCTGTTAAACTCCATTTCAAACAGACCAAATTAGGTAGACAGCAGAAAGAAAAATGGCCATGAAGTGACGAAACTCCCTTATGTGCCATCTGAAATCGTTCCAGCGCCTTTAAATATATCCTTTAAAGAGTACTAATGTTACGAGTGAGGACATGTTCACAAAGAGCCTTTAGAGGGAGACAAATGAGAGCACATCGGCCGGTGTCAGAAGAGACAGTCGAGCGGGATAAGAATAGACACAGCAACAGGTGGCAGGGATTGATGATACGTAATTAAATTCAACAGCTCGTTTCATTTTATTTGTGAGATTTTGCCGGGGATTAAAGGCTCTGATAATTATCCCCCGTTTCATTTGTGTTTGCAGATGGAAGAGGAGGAAATGGCAGTCACACTGCTTGCAAAAAGAGCGATCGCACAGCTTCTGTGCCAGCATCCTGCAGATCCTCTTTCTCTCAACACATGCGTGAAAAATGCCCGACGTGATGTACATTTTGTTTATTATGTCTCACGTTAAGACATCTTAAAATATCTTCCGTGACTTTGTGGTTTGCTGTCGACTCGTGCAAACTGTGAAGGTGGAAGTGATCTAATCTAACCATCTCACAGGAAATAGCACTGACTCTAAAGCTGAGCTGCACTTCAGTGCTTTTGACATGATGTTCTCCTGCACCCGGTGTGGATTGCAATATTGCACCGCTAATCATTGAATCGAGCATCAACGCCTCCAGCAGAGAAACCCTCACTGCTCCTGTCTTTGATGTATAACAGCACCAGAAAGGGCAAGTGAAGGTGCACAGCAGTGAGTGGCAGCAGCTTTGCATGCGGTGAGGGCATCAACCAAAGCAACGCCACACTTTTATGCATTTCATACCTCTCGCAGAAATAAGGGCTGCTGTTCCCTGATGCATCTCTCAGCAGGTCTGGACACACCTATGTATTAAAATAACTCCTGCTCTCCCTGCTTGGCTCATTCTTGCTTGCAGTCGGCTTAATTTGACAAACGTTTCTCCTGCTGCACAAACATTACAGACCCCATGTGAGCAGTGCCATGCTGAGTCTGGACATGCATTTTTGCAGTTCACATTTATGGGTCGATTTTTTTTTTTAATTGCAGAAGTGGGCCGTGTTGAAATGAGACACAACTACACCCTCATACCATTTTTAACCCTGAGAACTGTATTGAATGTTTATATAATAACGTTGTGTCCTTATCTTTTGAAAAAAATCAGCAGTCTACTTCTATTTTAACCCTCTCCATCAGCTTCATGTGTATCTTACAGGCCTCACTGAGGAACTGATGGAGAACACTCGTTTTACCTTCTCGCAGTCACTCAGCCTGAAACCATCACCTGCTGAAAGCCTTCTGTCAGTGTCTCCACCATCTGATTTTCATTAGGAGGTTGGCATGAGGGTTAATATATTTCTGCCACCTGCCCCGCTGAAAGAATATTTTGGTTGCTGCACTCATTCATGCATTCAGGCTGGAAATGTCTTAAAATTAATCTTTCAAGGTTAATTCTTTATTTCATGATCGACTGGCTAGTAAACCTGTAAATCACTGCTTTTTTAAACACTTGTTAAAGTTAGAGCAGAGAGTTCTTATTAAAAAAAAAAAATTCTCTTTTAAATCACAGACATCATTAACTGTGCTACAGCTAAGATTTACTCTGATGGTGACATGAGATGATAAATGATTGAAGCCCTGAGCCAGTCCTGATTTCTTTACATTTCCATGAAAATCAAAATAGATGCATTGATTTGAAATATAGTGGAAATATATGCATACGTCCATGGAAGTAGAGTAAGGCTGTATGAGTCAGTGTTTGGTATAAGTAGTGTTCAGGAACAGTTTTCCAGGCTTCTTGAAGGACATTCAAAGCTCTTCTTTGGATGTTGTCTGACTTTTGTTCTGTTCTCTGATCAAGATGATCCACATTGATTCAATAACGTTGAGCTCTGGGATCTGGGGAGGCCAATCTATGACTGCATAACTGCATTGGCAGTGTATTTGGGTCATTGTCATGCTGAAAAATTAAGCTGTTGGCAATCAGATGTTTTCCAGATGGTGCAACAGAATCTTAGAATACTCTTCAGCATTCATAATTACATCAGTTTTAATGCTTTAATGCAAGTGCTCCAGTACCACTGGCTGAAATGCAGCCCCAAACCACGGCAGAGCCGCCACCATGTTATACAGACAGCTGCAGACACTCACTCTTGTATCCTGGGCCAGATTATCCAGTGGGTATTCTGGGCACATGCCCGGATGTACCTGATGTCTCTGGTTGATTAAAGTAGTCTCTATTTTTCCACCTGATTCTTTCCCACTGCACTGCTGAGGGTAGTCTCTCCCAAAGTCAGGTAGCTAGTGAATATGGTACTTCAAAAACAACAGAAATAGACGTGGTTAAGGCCTACCTCTTAGGAAAATTCTCATTTGTTTAACCAGTTTGGGAAAATAACATTGCAGTTAACTTGAAAGTTCTTTAGATGTTCAATAAGAATACGTGGAAGTTAATTTGGAGGTTACCTCCCAGTGGATTTATGAATTAAAATGTTGGTTTGATCTCAATAAAGGAGCCATGGTGAAAGAATTAAACCCAGAGGATATTTCTGTTTTACAATTATTATTATTATTAATTTCTAAGTGGACACATCCCAAAAATGCTTTTCCTGAGAAAAGTTCCACTTCACTATATTGGCATTTGGCTTTATTCATTGGGCATGAGGTACTGGTGTGTGTAAAATGTTTGCAGTTTTGTCCTGTTATACAATATTTGAAATGTAAAAAAACAACCAAAACACCACATTTTCAGAAATATTTGTGGGTTTTTTCTTGTTCGTTTGTTTCTTTGCACTACTTGAACACCAAAGTGGCCCTCCAATGAGAAGACAGTGCCGGCAGGGGCCCACAGCTCATTAAAGTTTGAGGCCCCTGGTTTAAATTAACAGCTGCAACATCTGTTGTGGAAACAGAAAAGTGTCTGAGTGGTAATATTTACCGTTTCCCATTTAAAAGTTGCAAAGGCGACGCTGATGGAGAATGAAGAACAAAGACAGAAATGATCAGCGTTTAAATGCTTCAGTTGTTCGTTGGCTGAACTTTGACGAGCTGTTGTTGAATTTGTTGTACAAACGCATAAAGGGTTCAGGTTCCTATTAAATTGTATATTCTCGATTTTGTGGAGAAGTGATCCAATGGGCTGCCGGTATACACTATTAAACCCGCCTTCTTGTGGTTGCTATGCCTACTCCGCGTTCCTCTCTGATTGAAGGGAGGAGTAGCCAATCAGCGCTGAGCTGGGAGGGAGTTTGCGCTCACACTGGAAACTGCCTGGTGAATTTCTACTACTAACGTCAAACCGCTCAGGGTCCGCTGAAGAGTCGAGCCCGCTGAAAGCCCGGGGATGGAAAATGTACGATAAGCTGTGTCTGAAAACTCCGTGCAGGTGATACGTTCTTCCTCCTTCCTTCCTTCCTTTGTGACATTCACTGCAGGCAGAAATAGCCTAGAAAGACTGCGCTAGTGCACCGCTATTGAAAATATCGGGCAGTAGTTGACACGCTTGTTTGACATATGAAGCGAGGGAAATCCAGCTAACGCTGAAGGAGAAACTTGGGTGAGACAAGTACGTGGGTATAAAATGTAAGCTATGGCCAGAAGCTGAGCTTTATCTTAATGTTTCCGCAGAAACACTTTGTTTTTGGTCCTGCTAACATAAATGTGTTTAATATCCTGTCTCGCACTGAGAGGCTGTTTCTGCTCTGTGATGCTACTTTGCAGTCATTTGAGTGAATTTATTGCCACAGGGTTGTTATTGGGAGTTGAACTGCTCGATGGGGTTTCCTGCATGCTGAAGCAGGTTGTCTGTCGTTGTGATGATTGTTACTAGACAAGTTTATGCAATCATGGAAACCTTTGACTTATAGGCCGGTATTGGTACTGGCGTTTAAGAGTTTAAAATACTGTATGCTCGTACAGGTCTGTCTGTGATAACCTGAAAGCAGCTGCTAATATCAGCTGCATGTGCGTGACCAGCGAGGTGGATCAGAACCAGTCCTGGGTTTAACTGCTGGACATCACAGATCACACACCTGCTGTGGGGCTTCACTGACTTGACTGCAGATGTTTTGTCCTAGATATCCTCTGTCAGTTCTTAGAAGTGTGTCAGGCTTCACCGAGTGACACCTAACTTAAAGACATATGAGGGAATTCGTCTAATACTTCGAAGCAATATGGACATATTCTCTGGGCTGTGAGGTACATTTCAGTTTGCATGTCTGTTTTGTAGCTTCAAAGACACTAAACTGAGAGATGCAGCAAGATATCAACACAACATGGAAATCAGCTGATACTCATATTGGTTATCTGCAAATATGATAGCAAGAGCACTTGGCAGTTCTCCTGGACAGATGGGGAGATAAATAACAAAAATATTGGACCGACAAAAATCAGCATCAGCCGGTGGCCAAATGGCTACTTTATCATGTTAAATGTTGTGTTGGCCCAGAGTTTCACAATGAGTGTAATGTTTGGAGCTTGTCGTGAGTCTCAGTCTCAACTCAAGAAAAATACATATTGGCAGTTTCATAATGTCCTGATTGTCGGTAAACAAGCAAACCCACATGTAAATCAGGTCCACCCCCTCGCTCCACGTCCTCTCTGTCACTCTGTTGACTGCTGTCAAATAAAGGTAGCTCGAGTGGTGTTAGCCTAACCTTGAACCCACTTTGCTTGATTCTGGAAATGCATCATGTGAAACACCTTCAGGTGCAAGTAAAGGCTCATTTAATTTTGTTGCATCACTTTTGAGGTGCAAATCAACCACTGTCTGGTTGCACCAAAGAAACCATTGTGTGGAAATCCCCGTTTGACTGATAGACATTCTCGCCATGACTTTATGTTAGTTTGCAAGCATGTATAGCGTGAGCCGCAGTGTTTGCAACCTCAGACTGTAGCACAGCTGTCTTTCTCTGTGTGTCTTTGAAACCAAGTGGCAGGAGTTGAGAGTTGAAGGCTGCTGGGATCTTTTGATATGAGAGGTAAACAACACTCTCCCTTGTGCCTTGACTACAAGGAGAAGGTTCTGTTTCCTCCTGACTCTGAGTCAGGGTGAGTGGGATGCAGAGAAAATACTGAAAGGAGGTGTTTTACTATCATTAAATAAAGTATAATGCAGCAGCGTCGGGAGGAATGGATTTCTTTTCTCGATTCTTTTGTTTACAGACGTCATTAGAATGAATTGCGTTTGATTGCTCGCTGTTCATTCGCTCACTAAGCTGCGTGTTTTCACACCCCCGCACCGATCTCTGCCTAAAAATCTGATTGCACATGGACCAAAAGTTCGATCTCGATGTAGAAGGACGCGTATACTGGTTTCAACATAAATGACGATGCGGTCTAAGTTTGTCATTTTTATTAGGCCGTTTGATGTTGTGGGTTTATTTTGGTTATTGACGGTGTGTTTCTTTCTGGGAGTCTTAAGGTCGGTATGATATCTAGATTCATGCGCACTGTGTTCGGTCAAACTGCTGGCATCATCATTGAGTCTTAAATCAGCTACGTTGGCATTCGTTGAGTAGTTGCTTGTGAAGATGCTGATGTTTAGCTGATTATGTGACGAAGGCTTATATCACGGCGGTTGCAAAGAATCTCTGCTCTTCCCACAGAGTCTTCACTCTGTGTTGAAGGTCAAGGTCATACTTGTCATTTTAGGTGTCATTTTTCCAATTTTAACCAGAATTGTTACTCATCCTTGAGTATTGTGTGATCTTTACTGAGCTCTGCACACAGTCATCACCTAATGGATCAAGGTGAAGGTCACGCTTGAAAATTCATAGTTTCACATAGACTTGGATTCTGTTAATCAGAGACAGAT